CAATTATGAGGGCCCTCGTTTTGCACATTGTTTGGTAGACATGCATATTTCCTCCACCTAAGTGAATTGTTTTATGTTTCTAGCAGTTTTATGGCTAGGCAGGTATATTAAAAAATAGGTAAATAAAAGAATCTACGAACAGATGGAAAAAGAAGAAAGAAAATGACTTGGTAAACAGCACCGTGTGCAGATATTCAACCTCAACCTTTGGTAGAAATGCATATGCCCTTCAACTAAGTCCACTGCTTGATTCAGTAGGCTTACCTCACCCTATCTCTCTCCTTCTCTTCATCAATCCCTTCTCTCCTTCTTCTTTAGCTACACAGTTATGCTACTTGGCCTCCATCGGAAAAGTTCAATCACCGCTATTGTTCGCTATGGTCAGAGGCGACAATTCCCCAAGGGACAGGATTGAGAATACTCATCAGGAACTCACGTCCACTAGCTGCGTAGCGATGCTTAGAGGTAAGTGGTCGCTTCCTCCAACCCTTTGTATACACTGCACCTACTGTGCCGCATTAGCCGTTTACGTCTCTCTTACGTGCATTCACAACCACCAACTCAGTAGTCGTGGTGACCTATATTAACTTACCCAATAGCTTTACTAGTTGCCTATCCAGCTTGAGAAACACTAGGTTACGCTACACTAGACCTGGCTTGACTTGATTGCACTAGGGGAGATGCCTAAGCTAGATTATGATAGCCTAGAAGAGGATAGGATAAAGTAGGTTGGGCAGGATTATCTGCCCTTTCATGCATAATTCATAGAAGCCCCCATGCTCGACAATTCAAGGCGATGCCACTGTTGCCTCAGTTGACACGCCAAATCAAGTGGATACAACCTCAGGTCACGTATGGTGAGGCCTTTTCCTTCTCTCTTGTAGATATTGGGGATCAATGCACATATATAGCAACGATGTCTGTAGACGTCGTCGAAATCGTGGAGCAGGAGGTTTCCTGTCCACTTCCACCTTCTTATGCCCCAATTCAACGCCTCTTCTGTGAGTGCGTTCTTCTCCCCTACTACTATCTATGCTCTCAAGAGTTGACTCTTACATTATACCCTACCATGCCTG